TTCATTTGAATTAAATTCAAACAGATTCTGCCTCAGAATGTTGGTATGTGTAATCAAATCAAATCAAATCAACCTTTATTGTCAAAGTACTACAGGTGTACAACAAGATTGGCTAAGCCTCCCTTCGTGCACCCCCCCCGACACAACTCACAGTGACAACAAACACACAATCTTATTACACCACATGAACTTATTGCACAATGTTCTGGCCCCGCAAGTCTATCATACATGGACTTATTTCCCATTCAAGAGTCTGACAGCCTTTTCTCTCTCCTCTCCTTTCTTCATCTCTCTTCAGATACAATTCAGGGGTAATGTCCGAGCAACTCCTCTCTCCAAATTTCCCTATCTGTAAAGGAGGGGAGAAGGAAGTAGGAAGGTTGGAGGAAGAGGAAAGGGGAGGAGAGTGGTGAAGGAGAGGAGAGGAAGAAGAGGGAAGTAGGGAAGAGAAGAAAGGGAGAAAGAAGGTAAAGAAGAAGGAGTGTGGATACAGCGAAAGGGGAAATGGGCGAGCAACACCAAAGTTATGTGTATGTATTTATTTCATTTTGTTAAAAGTATCTGTATGTAAGTGTGGAGGGAATGTATGTTAATATCTGATAAGTATTATGGTATATGTATGGGGGAGAGTTTGGAAAAATAAAAAAATATTAAAAAAAAAAGAGTCTGACAGCCCATGGGTAGAAACTGTTCTTCAGCCTGTTGGTGCGGCTGGCTATTGCTTCTATATCTGCTGCCCAATGGTAGGAGAGTAAAAAAGTGCTGACCAGGATGTGAATCATCCCTGAGGATTTTCCTCACTCTTCTAATCCAACCTAATTGGAAGGAATCAGATTATAGAAGTTGCTGTAAAAGATGGGTGGCTCCTAATAAGAACATTCAGCTATTTTAAGTCTGTTTAGACTGCAATTGTTAATGCAGTTGCAAAAATATAAAAGAAAAAAAATATTCAGTCTAACAGCTTTGGTGGTCAACACTTGATATTCCCAAGTCCCCTATCAGTTCTTACTTACTATCAGTTGCTCATTTCTTACACATTGTACTTATTATTGGCCTGTATATATGGCAGAATTGCACCTGGTATTAAACAGGGAAGCTCATAGCTAAATTTGCAGAGGAAGTGGAATTATGCCGTACTAATTTCTAGCTGTTCCTATAATAGTGCTGATAGGGGAAAACAGTTCTATTGTCCACCATTTCTTTCTGCTTGGCTTTCGTAATTAAAATGTGGAATAACAAAAACATATTCGCTCTATATTGTATAAAACCCTACTCCAAAATAAGTTCATTTTTTTTATTTTGTCAATCAGGAGTTTATATTATGAAAGTAAAGGGAGACCTTCAATTGAATTAACTGGTTGCTTGTCCAGCTAGGTGACTGTAGTTGCATAACAGGACTATTGAATCCTTGGTGTTTATTCTCTAGTGTGAAACATGAAGCTGGTTGTAGTCAAAGAGAAGCATTGCAAAAGCTTTTTAAGAAAATTACAGATGACTGCTTCTATTATAGAAAAAGAGTTTTCTTTTATGGATATCCCCTTCTGTTGCTTAAATTACCTGGACATTGCAGAATAATACACTTCAAAGGAATTTGCAGATAGTATATAGTATATTTTAGTAAGAGAGATAATATTAAAGAAACATACATTTTCTCCTTCTGAAATTTAATTTAAATAATGTAGGAATAGATAACCTACTATCTGCTGCAACTTAGTCATCCTTGATCATAGCAAATTTTCACTATGGTTCTAGAGTTGAAGCCTAAAAGATGGGGGCTATCAGCTTTTGAAACAATGGACTTTTGTTTTTCTTGAAAAGAACTGCTGGAGTCTTCTATCACAACTTCTAGATCTTTATTCCTTTAGGACAGTGGTTCTCAACTTTTTTAATGCCGCGACCCCCAACCGGTCATAAGTCGAGGACTACTCAACCGGTCGTAAGTCGAGGACTACTCAACTGGTGCAGCACCGTTTGCAGAATGGGACTTTTGGCAGGCTCAGCAGGGCAGAGACAGCTGGACAATTCCTATTGGCTTTTGAAAGCCAATAGAATTAGACTCTATTCAAGAGAGTCTATTCTATTGGCTTTCAAAAGCCAATAGAATAAAAGGGAGTAGCACAGCTAAGGAAAAGGGGAAAAAAATGGCGGACTGCGTTGTTTGGCGACCCCCGTGAAATGGTTGTTTGACCCCAAATGGGGTCCCGACCCACAGGTTGAGAACCACTGCTTTAGGAAATGTTTGACTGGTTCAAAATACAGTAGAGAGGACTCCTCAATCCTTTCTTGTGCTTCCTATTCACTTCCTTGTAGCTCCTAAGCACAAGAGGGTTTTTTTCATCTGCAGTTCTGATATCTTTTTTCTCCAGGTGACACAATTGCACAGTTGGAAGTCAACATACCAGCAAAGGGTCTGAGATATGATTGGAGAGAGTGCATGGGCAGAATTGGATAGCCCATGAAAAGGGAGAGCTAATTGGTACCTTCCCCCTAAAACCCATTTTACTATTTCCTTTGCACTATTTCTTTTTGTAACCCACTCACCTAAACTAATTTCAAAACAGGAAGTCTTCAGACAACTTCCCCTACAACTACTTCAAGCTACCTAAACAACTCCTATTATTCCAAGGAAGTATAGTTAGACTTTAGTAGCACAATGCATGAAGAATTCTAGAAATGAATCAGAATAATATTTGTTGTTAAGGTGTTTGTATTGGAATCTGAAATTTTATTTTTCTAGAAGAGAGAAAATCAATGTATATGTTTTACTGCGATTGGGAATTGACCCTTTAAACTAGTCTGCAAATTTTTGGTATAGCAGTAGGTTTTATTGCAATTATGAACCAATATAACATTAAGCCTCATAATAACATTTCCTTTTGAAGTGGTGGGTGCAATGTAATAACATAATATGTTCTACTATACTTCCTTCTGTCTCTCAAGTTAGATTCATGACTAATTCATGAGATTTTTGAGGGCAAAGTCTGAAATAATGGGTTCGATTTCATCCCGGGGAGCGATAAACTTTTCGCAAGGCAATGCGATATTTGTAGTGTTAACCGTCTAAATGATTTTTATCGATAATGACAGATGGTTCTGTGGTGATGCACTCAGAGTCACGCCTAATATGTTCAGAATAAGTCTTCTGGAAGGCTGTACATCTGTTTTTAAGATCTTTTGCTAAAATATTTAAATCAAGGTCATTGTTTATATTTGATTTCTAAGCAGCGTTTAGCTATTGGCCTGCCATTTTATACATTTAAAGATGAATCTGCTTGTAACTTCAAGGGCTGCAAATGGAAAGTTATAATAGGTAGCAGGTGTTAGGAAAGGCAATTATGCATTAGGTGCTTTGCTCAATTTCCAAAACTGTCCAAGACTATCCATTTGAAATGCTTTATACCCTAGTTTTATCTCTGAACTATGATGAATTCTCAGATCTAAAGGGAATATGCATTTTCCTTTAATGAACTGAATGCTTAAGCCTATTTGATTTAATTTAAAAGAGCCTAGGCAAACGGTACTGAAAAACAATGTGAAAACAGAAAATATCAAGAATAAATTTAGATCTTTGGCATAGTTTGCAATTTTATTTTCCTTTCTTAGAGGAAAAAAAAACTTTGATACAGTTTGTATAGAGAATGGTATTTAGGCCTTTGCATACAGGATTATTCAAAGTTTCTCATGAAGTTTTGCTCAGTTTCCTTTACTGTTGCCAGATGGTGTTGGATTAAGACTGAAAAGAAGGGTTTCTTTTTCTTGCTCCCAAGAATTTAAAAGATTTACTAGATCAGATCAAAAATCCATTTTAAGCCATCTTACGTAGTCACCTTGAAATTCCAAAAATTTTGCTTTTCTTTTGCTCTGAATCTCCTGTCAGTTTTGTTGGGTGTAACAGTAATTAAAAAGTCTGTTTCTCTATGGTTTGGATAGTTTATTATCTGTTTTCCTGCAATCCCTTTAGCTATGGCCTAATTCTTCCCAAAGTCTTTGCCTTATACTCTGGAGAGGTGTTAGGTTCCATTTGAATTGGGTCATCTACAGATGGCATGTTATAACTGGGTCAGACATTGGGATAGGAATTGTGTTGTATGAACTGTCAGACTCAGACAATGGTTAGGTTTAAGGAGGAATTAAATTTAGACCCAGACAGCCTCAGATCTCTTTGGCTGAAATGAAGACTTCTGTACTTACTGTGTTTTACAGAAAAGTCCAAAATAGTTAACGTTCTTGCAAAGAGGCAGATCCCACGAGCAGTCTTTTTTTATTCCCCATCTTCCTCCTGCAACAATAGTAGTGATTCTGATTAATCATTAGGAACTCTTTTAGAACTTTTTTTCATTTTGAGTTGTTTATGAGATGTGACTTCTGGATAAGACATGCCCTTTTTTACTCTAGAAGAGTATATTCTTCTGATATACAATTTCCTGGACATTATGAACGTATTGTCATATTGATCACTCCCAATTCTAGAAACTGTAATGATCTTTCCCAGCAAGCTTGTGTTGATAGGATGTCTAAGATATCTTCTAAGATATCTCCTCCCCAAACTACATTATGTAGTTTTTCTTACCAGGGAAGAATGCAGCCAAAATGCAGTGCAAAATAGAGCAAATGGTATAGAACAATGTATTGCTTCAGAAGTCATCAAAACTAAGGAAGAACTAGTGAAGGCCATTGACTCGCCCCTAACGAAACTTGCTCATGAAGAACAATGACAGCAGTTGAAGCCAGATGGTTTTTTTTGATGTTCAACAACAAAGTTTATTGGCAGATATTATGCTTTTTATATACTTGCATATTCTTGGGTAGTATTGTTTTATTTACTCCTATTTTCTCTACACAAATGAAAAAAACTTTTATTTGAAATCTGATTTGCTAATTAATTATGACAAATTACATTTTAAAAATGAGGAAAACAACAAAAAGACTTTCTGAACAGTATTGAGTTATCTACTCAAACGTATTTTTATGTTGAATGTATTTATGCTTTCTTTTAACAGTCTGAACCAGAAGGTTTTTCCCACTTCCACCTATATGTCTGTGCTGCCTTCCTTGTCAGATGGAAAAAAGAAATCCTTGAAGAAAAAGACTTCCAAGTAAGTAAAACATTATTTTTATTTTTATTAAAAATGATATTTTATTTTTTAAAAAAATACCTTCATTAGTAGCAGAAGACTTTCACTTTTTACTGGGTTTCAACAGCCTTGGATACATTTGGATGTTTTTCCGTATTTCTCTTGCTGAATTTAAAATGAAAGGAAAGTACAGAATTGCAGCTGAATATTTTTCCATTTGTCCATCTCCTTGTTTTGGATGGGGCAACATCAAGATGGTTTGACCCAAAAATAAAAAATAAAAAATCCGGCTACCAGGAGTAGGCAAACTTCATTTGATACAATTCCAGCATAGCAACTTTCATGTTGAAAACAAATTAATCAGAAGGAAAACAGTTTTGATAATTGGTAAAAACTAATTAACCTGGCCATATGGGAAGATAAAGGAAAAATATCTAATCATGTTTAAATGGAGCCCAGAGAGTGATGTGCCCTTTGTAGGCAGAGAATGCTTGTTTTTATTTTCCCAAAGTATCCATTTTTCCATGTACATAAGGAGAAATATAATTTTGAAATAGCTACTTTCTATTTTATACTTGTTCTTTTTGTCTCTCGGTTTGTCAGAGAGTTCTTTGTTCAACCATGCTGGTTTCATTTGGGGTCTCTTTTTTTCTTTCTCTGTGATACTGTGTTTGATTGTTTTAATAATCTTGTTTTTCAGAACTTCCCAAGCAACTTGAGTTGTTTTTCCCTTTAGAATTTCCATCTATGGAATCCTTCCTAATTTCTGTCTTAGTTTGTCGAAGTCAGCTCTCTTAAAATCTAGATCAGGGCTTTTCAACCAGTGGTATGGGTACCACCTGTGGTACATTGGCACCTGGCAGGTGGTACGCGATCATCCTAGAAAAGTGGTAGCGGGGGAGGGGAATGAGCTGAACTGGAGGCAGCACCGCACAAGCCCGAGCGAGAGATGGCTGGAGCTGCAGGGCTGTCAGGGCTCAGCAGAAGCGCCAGGATCAGCGCTTCTTCAGGGCTGTCAGGGCTCAGTGGAAGCATCAGGATCAGCGCCAGGCTCCAGCTGGAGCTCAGCGCTGATCCTGGCACTTCTGCTGAGCCCAGAAGAAGCGCTGATCAGCTGGAATGTTGCAGCATTTCAAGGGTCTTGTGATTTACATTCAGATGCTTGGCAACTGATTCATATTTATGACGGTCACAGTGTCCCAGGGTCATGTGAAGTGACCAAAACCTGCTGCAACCATCCAGCAGATGGGGGGAATAAAAACCAAACACCCCCCACCCCACCCCTGCTGCCAATTCTCAACAGAAATGCTCACAACAATGAAAACCTCGGACAGGCATGTGTCTTGCTTGGCTGTGGCTTGGGGGGCACTTTTTCAGTGCCATTGTAACTTCGAACAATCACTAATCGAACTGTTGTAAGTCAAGGACTACCTGTACTTCATCACTTTTTTCCTTTTTTTTTTTTTTGGTCATCAAGTTTTTGGCACCTTGCTAGGCAACTGGTGGTACTCGGATATTGCTATACCCTAAAAGTGGTACAATGGATGAAAAGATTGAAAAGCCCTGGTCTAAAACACTAGTTTGACTTTGTTCAATGGCCTCTGCCTGCATTATGTTGAATACTATGACCATGTCATAGTGTGACATGGTCAATCTCTCATAAGGTTCCCGCAACTTCCACCCCTTGTATCATTTGATCCCTGTTAGTAAAAATTAAGTCCAGTATAGCTGATCCCTTATTTCCCTCCTCTGCCTTTTGGTTGACAAAGTTGTCAGCTAGGCACAACAGGAGCCTGGTGCAGATTTTGTCCCAAAGTTGATGTCAGGATAGTTAAAGGCCCCCATTACTACAGTGGTGTGTTTCCTGCACCCCTTATTTAACTGAATAGCAAATAGTTCACCTATTTCCTCTGCCTGGTTGGGGGGGAGGGGCTGTAGTATATACCTATAGCAATGTCATTTCTTTTTTGTCTAATATTCACCCAAATGCATTCAAGAAGGCTTTCATCCCTGGCATTGTGTATTTCTGTAGACATATAGTGATTCCTTACTTACAGTGCAACCCGTCCTCCTCTTTTGTTGGGTCGATTTCTTTTGAATGATTTATATCTTCTAGCAATAAGTTCCAATCAAGGGTTCCATCCCACCAAATTTTGGAAATGATACAATATCATACCTGCTCTCATGTACTAGGTCTTCCCTGTTTGCTTCCTACATCTCCTGATTTATATCTGAGTCCCCCTTCCTTCTCAACACTCCCTTCCTCGTTGTTTGATCTTTTGCGTTGGAGTTTATGCTTGGGGTTTGGCCTTAAAGATTGGTCACCCTCCCTTTCCATTCCTAATTTAAAACTGTGCTGATGAGCTGAGCCAGTTGTTTTCCAAACATTCTTGTGAATTGTGAGAGCAAAGTTGTGATGGCTTTGCTTTCCCATCCTCATGGGACACTGGCGGAGAGGAAACCCTATGAAAGGGAAAGAGGTGGGATCAATGCAGGGCAATGGTGCTGGACCAGTTCTGCTAGCAATGGGGTCTGGGGTGTGTGTGCCTTCATTGTTCCTTGCTGGCTTTCATGCAAATGCTCAACCTCTCACTCAACTCAACAGAAACTTCTAATTGTCACCGTGGAGCCATCACTATGGCCACCTAGGTTTACTCTCTCACCTGTGTTTTCACAATGCCAAACGTTAATTCCAACACTGCATTTTAAATTCTTCATCTATCCTTAATATCAGAAGTTGGTGCTCTAAGAATAAGAGAAGAGCAAGCTAAACATCGTGACATGAATATGAAGAGTTTGGAATCCAGATAGCAATTCAAATTGGTGAAGGATGTGATGAAGCTGTTTAGTTTATAATGTATTTTTCCATCATTAGCAGTAGCTTCAATGGTCTGTCAGGGTGCAGATGTCATGGTTGACCCATGTAGCTGTTGAGCACAATTAGTTCTAAAGTTCTTGATAGAAAAATGTTTTTAAAAAAAACTAACTGGCAACTTTGTGAAATATATGTGACTGCTGTAAGTGAACTGTTGCCTTTTGTGGCTTAAAGTTGCCTTCAGGGAAGATGCAAAGCCAGCATTAACATTTTATTATATTAACTTTATACTATCTACCCTTTCAGAAACTAGAATTCTCTTTCTAGACCAATTAAATGGGCTCATTTAAAAGATTGTTTTATGTGTCAGCATTTGCAGTGTAAAAGTTCATTATGAAACTGCAGAAGCATATTTTTGACTGCTTATATTCTAAGCTGGTGCATTTCTAAAATACACCAAAAGGCCTGCCAAGGACTGATTGGATGTATTTTATCGATTTGTTTAAATGCTGCCATTATTATTCACTTCAGGCAGGTAGCTAATTGGATAATCACTGTAACATAGCAACCCAAGAAGCATATCGCCAACGTATTACTTTACTTTGCCTCTAAAGAGCTGCAATTATAGCAGTTTTAGGGTCAAAAGGTGGCTTGAAAAAAAACTTAAAGGGATTGAAAAGGAGAAAAGTTATATAACCTAATATTCACCTCAGGGCGTTCAGATCATTCTGCTAACACTGCTATATGCAAAGATTTTATTTTCAACCCCACTCTGTTTGACTGTGTTTGTGATCCTCACATTTTAATCCCATAAAGTGTACACTTGGTATGTAATCCTACCTTTCTGCAGTATTCAGCAGTACAATAAAATGCAGATCCCATAGAATGCCCTTTGAAAGTCCAATATTTTAATATGATTAGGTCAGTGCTATTAACTTTGCCGTGTCATTGATCAGCTCTTGGAATTTGCCTCAGGAATGCTTTCTGGATGTTTGAAATGAGAATATGTGTAATTAAATTCATGCTAGCCAAAAGGATTTGCTGCTATTAGAGCTGTTTCTTAATTGAGACTTGTTTAATAATGAGTTAATGTCCCTTACATGATTGTATTTGCTCAAAGTTTTGTTTGTGGTATTTGAATGAACTAAGGTAGGCTAAAGGTTCATAAGGTAAAATGAAGCCAAATAGATATCTAGGAGTAAGATGTAAGGTTACAAGAAGATCCACAAAGAATATACCAGTGCCCTTGTTTAGCGACTGCCTCATTAAGCAACCATTTGCAATTATAGCAGTGACAAAAAAGTAAGTTTGTGACCATTGCCCACATTTATGACCACATTTTGCAGGTTTATAAACCAAAGGAAAGCTGAAGTGAGATCATAAGCACAGTTGCCATTTTACTTCGTGAATGCTTCGCTTAACAACCAAGTTGCTTGTCTAAATTGTGGTTGCTAAACAAGGAGTAGTTGTAGTGTGTTTTGATCTTAGAATCTGTTTTGGTATATATAGCTGCTGCTAAATTTTTCTGATTCACATTTGTCATTTGTACGCATTTACAACAGAACGAGGCATTTGGGTCATTTATATTTTTCTCAAGTGAAAGGTGATATAATTCTCTTAGAAAAGAAAGAGGAAAGCAAGCTTTGCATCTATATCTAGAATCTTTTTGTTGAAAGCCCACATACAATTCCTTGGTGATCAATTGTGCTATAGTATGAAATGCCAAATTGTTTTATTATCTTTCCATCCATCAGCATATGACTGTTAGCAAATAAAATTGTTACAACTCTAATAATTTGGAAGGCTCAGGAATGTTATCTTTTTTTAAAACTGCTTTTGTTAAAAATAGTTTGTTGTTTGTAGGTATCACATTTGTTACATTATCCACAGGCCTACCTTGTTTTATTGTGCGTTGCAAACTCTGGTGTTTTTTTTTTTCCTTTGCAAGATCCTTTACTGGCAAAAAGATTATATGATTTGCTGAAGGCTTGGATAATGATTAGCAATTTTGTTCATAAAGGTTTTTTTTAAAGTTAAAATATATGTGATTTTTTTTTTTTTTTTAGACATAATGCTATTCTTCACAAATCCTGAAGGCTACGTACATAGCTTCCCCATCAATTGCAGCCTTCAGGAACCTTGCAAGAGAGGATCATCTAGGCCAGTGGTTCTCAACCTGTGGGTCGGGACCCCATTTGGGGTCGAA